CAGCGTCTTACCACCTCCTCCTCCTCCTCCTCCTCCTCCTCCTCCTCCTCCTCCTCCTCCTCCTCCCCCCCTCCCTTTCCCCTCCCCCTCCCCCTCCCCCTCCCCTTCGTTCTCCTCCTCCTCCCCCCCTCCTCCTCCTCCATCCCCTCCGTGCTCCCCGCTCCCCCCCTCGCGCCCCCTGCATGCGCGCTTGCGCGCCTCGACCGCGTCGTCCTCGTCCTGCGTCGGGCGCATGCCCCGGTGCGCCCCCCACCCCTCTGGGACGCCCGCGGGGCCTCTGGCACGGGGGCCCCAAAATGTACCACCGCCGTCTCCCTCCCTCCCTCCCCCTCTCCTCCCAGACCCCCCTCGAGCCGTGAGGAAAATCACGACGGAAGGTGCTCCGCTGTTCTCGGCCGCTGGGAGCCCTCGCTGAGCCTCGGAGCCGTCAAAAAACGACTCGGGAGGAAAGGCCCGTCCCAGGGAATGGGTCGGGACCTCTGGAGGTCCACGCTGTGAAACAATCATGACGTCGGAATTCTGGCTTGGACACCCCCGAAGCAAGGGCCGCCCCCGAAACGGGGGCACAGCCAGACGATTCCGTTTCACCTTGCCCGCATGTAATTTCGTCCACTTCGATTCGTCCTGTTCGATTTGTCCGGTTCACTCTGGGGCGAAACCTGAGAGGACGGAGCGAAAAAGGGCGAAACGAAAGAAGACGAAACAAAAACTGACGCAATTAAAATCCACAAACGGGGGCTTGGGCTTTTCAATATGCCCTCGTTTACTGCGCCCCCGTTCACGAAGCCCAGGGCCCCCTGAACAGGGGCAGAGCCCAACGTGGAAAAATTGGGGTTCCCCGTGCCCCCGTTTGCTGTCACCCCGCATCCGGCGACCGTCTGCTGCGACCCCGCTTCCCCCCTCTTAAACAGGGGGGACAAACGGCAGTGTCGTAAACATACACGTTGTTCACTTCTAATCGTGCTCATTTCTATTGTGCTCGTTTCTCATTGTTCCTGGCGCCCTAGTGACCAGGAAGAGGCCAAGGACATAACAATTAGAAATGAGAGGATCCTGCCCCCCCAAAAAAATAATAACCCGCAGAACTAGACATGAACAATATGCAAACTTTCCGAAGCCCGCGCGGATTGCTTGTGTCGGCGCTGGGCCCCCCCCCTCCATGGCGCGCGGAGCGCGCCAGAGGCGGGCGGGGCACCGAGAGCGCCTCCGGGAAGCTTCGGCGCCGATCTGGAGACATCCGCGCGCGGACCTCGGAGTTCATGTTTCTGTCACTGTTCGTGCCCCGACGGACGCCCCCGAGGCCCCCGATGGACGCCCCCGATGGACGCTGGACGCCCCCGAGGGGCGCCCCGATGGACGCCCCCGATGGACGCCCCCCAGGGACCCCCCCCAGGGACACTCCGGATTCGGATGAGAATCCTGAAGCTGGGAAAGGTCCAGTTCCATAAGCGGATGCGATGTGAACGAATGACAATAAAGATGGGTATCTGTTACTGCTTGTGACTTGAGCCTTGAAACAATATCCTCAGTACGATCTGACTCTGGCCCAGGGAACACATGTTATTACGATATGTTCGGGCTTAGTGAGACAACATGCCTAACAGGTCCTAGACATAATCATCTCAACTCTGGTCCTTTTTTCATTAAGACATGTTGGGTCAATTAAAAGATAAGCCTGGTCGGTTTTACTGGAGTTCGGAAGCGGCTCTGGGGGGAGTGAAACAGAAGAAAGATAGAGAGAGAGAAACAACAACACATAGAGGGAAATAGCCGTCCTAGACAAGCCAAAACTGGCTTATCAAGTCCACCACGGCCACCAAATATCAATATATTGATATAGCTCCAATATCGTGAAAATGAAAAGTTCCAATCTCTTTGATATTGCAATACTTTCAACATCTCGAAAAGGTAGCCGTTGTACTGAACAAGAAGTCTCCGTGAAACCATCCAAGCCGTAATATACATATTCTGTTAAGTTTCCTCAAAGGCTGGTGCTAGGCGTAAATGTGAGGCCAGCACTGTGAGCGAGCTCCAAATAGGGAAACAGAACCAAGACGCAACAGCGCCGCAGC